TTATATCCGTTAAAAATAATTTGTTTCTGTCTGATCCACGTTTTTTTTTTTTTTCCCCATCTATACAGTACAACAACGATAAACTGATTTGAAGATAAGCAAATTAGGAAATTTAGGCAAATAATTATTTCAAGTGAAACAACCACAAATATTATATTCATAAAAGTAAAGTCCTAAACTTATGTACAGACATCAGCTGAAAAAAAAACAAAAAAACAACAACAAAACACTATTTACAGCAGTAATAATACAGTGGGAAAACTGACTGAAATAACTATTTCTTTAAACAAAAACATATAGGATAAAGTTCAACAAAGAAGAAAACAACCACAAAAAAAGCACAGTTAGCGCTTAAAACCTTATCACAGAATAAGAATCATCTTTCAATTTCCAGTTGGCAACATTTTTACTCCTGCAATGTTTTTTAATTCCTTACTCCCCATTTTTCGGCCGCAAAAAGTGTAAATTTGATAAAAAATAAGGAAAAAAGTGTTAAAAGACCTAAAACAGGACGAATTCTAAGAAATGTCTTTTTGCTTTTTTATCACAGGAACTTCAGAATTTCAGTATGACACATACTGTAACTGTTGATCATACTGTGAAGTTTCATCAGCTCTTAACGGATGTAGATAGAGTGGTGGTAACAGATTCTCTGAAGTACACGGAACAGGACTACTTTCACCAGAGGTCGTGTAAGTGCTGGAACAGTACGGTTCTAACGATGCGAATGTTACCGGATTATTTTCATGACGTGAGGTTTTACTTTCACTATTTTTCCGGCAAATATCTTCCGTACGAATTCCCATCTGTGCCTCTCGTGCTGCTCGATCTATGAATATTGTAGATTTGATATATTTAAACAAGAAAAAAAAAAAGAGCACTCAGTGAGCAATTTAAATTGTTTGATTAGTGTATCGGGAAAAAAAAAAAGTTGGAATTTTATGTCCGACAATATTAACCTTTGTAGTTATTTCGAGCTTGAACTTCTGCCATTGCAACCGAAGCAAAATCTTCCAATTGTAAAGGTCTTACTTCGTTGGAAAATGTAGCACGAAACTGCAAATGATAAAAATTTATTTGTTCAAATAAATTGGGAGAAAAAAATAACAACATTTCAATATGTTTGGTTAACAACTATTTGTATTCACCTGATTTCCATCTAAAACATTTTGCAAATGTTGAATATATCGTAGTGCAAGTCGTAATGTTTTAATTTTTGGTAACTTCTGATCACTGGGTATATGCGGCACACATCGTTGAAGTCGTGCATAGGCGATGTTCATCTCTTCGTTTCGTCGACGTTCCTGCAAAACAACTGTTTGTCGTTTTTTTTTCTTTTTTTTTTTTTTTTTTACATCTCATCAAGTAACTATGGTCAACAAAATTACCTGTTAAATCAGTTAAGTGTTGAGTGTGAAAGAAGTACTAAATAAAGAAGGGAAGGAAGAAAAAAAAATGCATGTCACTGTAATTGAATATCAACTATTATGAGTTACGCAATTAAACAAGCACTACTGGGTTAATACCATTGTTTGAAACCAATCTAAGTCTATTTTCTTGGGTCTGGCGCCAACAATAAACAAACTGCCAACAAAAGTTTATAACAATCTTTTTTTTTTTGTTGGATGATACATTAAACTTTACCATTATCTCACAAAAAAAAGTAGGAGATTAAAGAAACGTTAAACATAACAAACATAACAATAAATTATAATCTGAGTAGGGGAAAAAAAAAGAGCAGACAGCTTTTTCAGATTTTATTCATCACTGATATTTGAATCACTTATTCAGAAATTTTTTCAAAACTACAGTTAAAAACTGCAAAAAATTTAATTCATTATTTTGTTGCCCTATCTATCAGAAAAAAAAAA